GCTAGTCGAAGAGGAATTGGACGAGGACGTGCCGTACACGGTCAGACTCTTCCTTTTGAAGGCGGGCGAGTACTTCGAGTGTATTTGGGGAGCTGGCATCTTGAAAGAAGCCGCGCTCCTCAGAGGCACGCTGGCCGTGCTGGCGTTGCTCGCCAAGGAACTTTGCGAGCCCCACTTGTCCTGAATGCTCATCTTTGGCAACACCTGTGGACAACGTAACGCGTGCTTACACATTTTTTATCCCGTTCTCGCGAGAAGAAGTATGCGAGACTTACCTGATGCAACAGTATCGAGTCTCGGGATTTGATTTCGGGTAGGTCGACGATGGGCGCGTCGATCGTTATCGTCTCCTTCTCGGGGATCACCAATCCTCTCAGTTTCGAGATCGACCTCTTCCTCTGCTCGATCAATTGGTTCAAACTGTTCCTCCTTAAACTGTCCTCGGTCGGTCTCTTGAACGTGGACGCCAACGAATTCGTCCTTGCGATCGCCAACGTNTCCAGGCTGCTTTGGGACGAGAACATGGCGATCTTGTCCCTGACGGATCGTTCGGATTTGTCGTCCTGCCTCCACAGTTCTCCGTTCAACGTGAATTTTCTGGGCGTCGAGTCCAGGATCGGGGCGTTCCTCGCCGCGTACGAGGTGGGGCAACGGTCGATCTTGGGCGGGCCTGTGAACGAAAACACGAACGAATTAGGAAACATCGTTCGAGGCAAGGAAACATAATCGAAGGGGCGATGGAACGCGGATGGGAAATTTTACCGGTGAGCGGTAGCGGCGGGGGCGTGTCATCCTTCTCGGCGTGGCGATCTTCCTCGATCGCTGTGGCCACGTCTTTGTGATAATAGCCGGTGATCTCGATCCTTTTCTCCGACACGAGGACGCCTCCGTCGCAAGCTTGGCTCCCGTAGCAACCGGCCGTGGCCGTGGAGTAAACGGACGTACTCTTTTTAACCAGGTCGTCCTTCGGCTCCTCTCGAGCCAAAAGGGAGACGGTGTTGCTGCTCGCGTCTTGACAACGGACAACGTTCTCCCGCTCGATCTTCCCGCCCATCATCTCGATCCCCGCCATCTCCAGCTTTCCAACCACCTCCTGGCAAACAGGCGAGCTCTCCGCGCCCGGGACAAGGCTTGGGATCCTGTTCTCGGATTGCAGAATGATACCGGTGGCCACGTTCCCCTCCAGCAACTTGTACCCCTCGTTCACCATGAACGACTCGCTCTCGTTGCACACGAGGCGGCCGTTCGCCATCATCGTCGACGTCCTCGCCGTCGCGCTCCCCGT